CTCTCACCATGAAAAAAATTAAAAAAAAAAAAATAAAAAAATGCTTGGCACTGGTGGGTTTCTGCATCTCACGGAGGAAGATGTAAGAGAAACCAGCGTGTGATGCTGAATCCAGGAAGACTGAAAACAGAAATCAGCACACACTTTAAAAATGAGTGGGCTGATCACTGTCTTTGGATCTCTTCAGAACAAACCTGGCTCTTTCTCTTAACTGAGCACAAGCTGTGATACATTCCGGTACAACTTGCTGCGACAGGGGCAGGGGTCTGAGCTCAAATCTGAGGTACGGGCTGTAGGTCAGACAAGAAGGCTGAGAGATACTTTTGGTTTTGTCTTCCTGGAATTTGCTCTGCAGAAGGCAGGGGCTGAGGTGTGAGACTTTAGCTGTTGCCCACACGCTTAACCGCGTGGTGGCATCATTGTACCACGGAGAGTCTCTTTTTCCCATTGAAAAAGGAGAATTTAGCGGCAAGTGAGAAAATATTTCTAAGTTTTAGAAATTGGGCTTTGCGTGAAGTCTAATGTGAAATATCGCTGTAATTCAGAGGAATTAAGATTTTGATAGACTGGAGTTGTCTAAAGGAAAGCTTTTTGCCTTGGGGCTGTAGCTGCTGCTCTGGCTGTCTTTAGTTGGTCCTTTAAAACCACCAGTACTGGGGCAGGACTTGCTTGTGCTTGGTGCTGTATTAACAATTTCTTCTGACATAATTAAAACAAAGACTCTATCATTTTCTGTTGTGTGCCTTGCCCTACATCATGCAGGTGTAAGTTGGGAGTATTGAATTCTCTTTGAGCTCTGAATACGTTCCCCCTAGGTCTTTTCGAGGGTGGTGTTCCCACAGGCATCCCTCTGCTGCTGGTGACGTTGGGGGTGTCACGAGTGGGGGTCCTGACTGCTAATGCCTTCATGCGAACCCTCTCTGTCACACAGAGGTGCTTTGCTTGGGGAGGGCTCTAAGGAGTATGGCTACCTCTATGTCTCCACGGAGGATGTGAGAGTCAGCCTCACCATTCAGAGACTGCAAAAGTCATCCCCACCTATTGGAGGGACCTTCAGCATCCACTTGGCCAATACGGTGGTATCAGGTAAGAGAAGGTTCAGGTGCAGGTCCTGGATTTCCTTTGCAGGAAACGAAGTGAAGAAGAGACAATATTACACCCTGGAAATGCTGAGGGTACAGACTGGCAGGTTAAACAACCTGTTGAGATAGCTGCTAGATCTTTGCATCTGATGTACTTCCAGACATGATTTAAGGATTATAGTCTGGCTAGTGTTTGTTGATGTTAGGAATGGGGTTGTTCCAAAATGCTTACAGCCACTGTGAAATATTTGCCTTAATTTTAAAGAACTCTGAAAAATATTTGCCTTAACATTAAAGATCCTCAACTGGGATTTTGCATCCCATGATTTCATTATGCTGCCATTTCTCCAGCATCTGTCCTTCTGTTCTTGTACGACAAGACTTGCGCATGTTACCAGGAAATTTGTTCTCTTCTAGGATTACCAGGATTGGTAATAGGCTTGTAGATATCACAAAAGATTTTGTGCGTAGAATTGCTTGGCTTGAATGTAATTACCCTTTATGCGTGCTAGGTTTTCTTGTCTTTTGTTTGAATAATCAGAGAGGCTTAGAATGAAAGTGAGCAGGTTAATCTGAGCAAGACCAATGATAAAGTTCTTAACTGAGGAAACAGTGGCTCATTTATAAAGTCAAATAACAAAATGGGAAAGCACAGCCTTAGAATATTTCTGAAACAACTCTTCTCTGTGTTGTCACTTAAGATTTTTCTACAACAGCTGAAGGCTGTCTCAGTCGTACTTAATTTTGAGCATCATCTTTTAAAAATGTCCTCCATTCCTCTTGCTGTGTTCCCAGGTCTTGTGCTTTGCCCTCTTTCTCATTAATTCATTTAGAGAGATTTATTGTATCTGTAGCTTTGAATGGCCATGGGTATTTATGTCAAAAGAAATAAAACATTATTTGCATTTTATCTGGATTGGACTCTACAAAAATCTTGATAGGCTGACTCTCTCCACACCTGTCTCACCTAGGACATTTCCAACCTTCGTATTTTGAAGGAAAATGACTTGCACACTGAAATTTCATGAGTGCATATTGTATAAAAGTATTACTTAAACAAAATTTCTGACAGTCCCAATTGCAGAGAAGTTTCTTGGTTTTTTTTTTAGCAGAAGATCTTCAAAATAGATATAAGGAAGAAATGTTTTATGATGAGGGTGGTGAGACACTGGCACAGGTTGCCCAGAGAGGAGGTGGATGCCCCATCCCTGGAAACATTTGAGGTCAGGTTGGACGGGGCTCTGAGCAACCTGATCTAGGTGAAGATGTCCCTGCCCATGGCAGGAGGATTGGATTAGACAACCTTTAAAAAGTCTCTTCCAACCCAATCTATTCTATGTTCTATGGTGATTTGGCATTTGGGGTCCAGTAAATTTCCCTCTGCTGCTTTTTGGCAGTTGCAGAGGTTTGAACCACCACAGACTTGCACTAATAATGAAACGTCTTTCTTTTCTATGGGCAGGTAGATGTGCTCTCCTAGGGATGATGATATCCACAACTTTCTAATGTCTTTTGCAGGTGTTTCAGTGCACATCTCCTCCCACCATCTCCGCAAGCTTTTGCAAGACAACACAGATAACTCTACAGCCCCATACTTCAACACTAGTGACTTCATTGTGACTAAAGACTCAAACTCATGCTATGAAAGCATCTGGACACTGACTTGGAAAACAAAAACTGGGGACTTGCCCAATGTTATCAATGTACAGTAATTTGTTACTAACATTTACTTTGAACCCCATTCAATGTCTTTGGCTTTGAATGATTCATTCTCCCAGTATTTGTTTTTACACAGACATCCATGGGACCTTAAGCTAAGTGTCTTCCTATTAGGAATAGCAGTTTAAGCAAATTCCAGATTAGGTCATTAAAAAAGCAATTACAGTTACAGGAGGAGAAAATACGTCTTCAGAGTCTGTGCCCCACAAAATGACGAGGCTAGGATGTAATTTCTGGGTTTTGTTGCAGTTCTGCGGAATAAAGGGACTGCTATACTGAAGTGAAAGCTATTATAATCACATTAATATTTTAGTACCATAACTGAAGCCCAGTACAGGTTTGTGGCATCATTTATGGGCCAAGAAGATCTTTTTCTGACAACTATTCTGTGTGGGTCTATATCTGGTTCTCACAAGTCTCAGATTAAGGTTCAGTTCAAACTCTCCCACCCCAAGATTTATCATTTAAGTTTTGCCTCCAGTAAAAGTGTCTTTTTTTGAATAAGAATTAAGACAGAGCTGCTTCCTTCCCCCAATATATTTCTTTGTATATCCAGCTTCTGAAAGTATAAAATTATCTTCAACAAAGCAATGAGTTCTCATGATGAAGACATTGTCCTAGATGGTAAAAAAAGCTTGAGCTGAATCTTCAGCTGTAGCACAGGTCCTTGTTCCATGCAAAGTTGTGTTTTTGAGAAGATGTTCAAAGCTGTTTCCATACTTAATTCCAGATGATATTACCGAGTATTAGAAGTTTATCTGCAAATCTGGCTCCTGAATCTCTTTGTCTCAGTTTCTTGCCTGCAAGGCTGAAGATGGAAACAGGGAGGTCTTGTAAAGTCTTGGGTAATGAAGATTTAGACCTGGAGATAGGAGTCATGGAAGAAACTTGAGAAGAGCTTTCCAGGAGTTATTTGATGCCTTGTAAAGACTTTGTATGAACTCTGGGGGGAACGGTTTTAGTTTAAACTCACAGGATGGAAAACGACAAGGAACTTAAATTCTTTGTTCTTTACCAGGTCTCTGCTGAAAACCTCACTGGTCTGAAGCCAACAGTTTCTAGTCGTGTGGTTTATGATGGAGGCGTGTTTATTGGGCCGATATTTGGGGACATGCTTGCTACCTTCAACAACAAAACACAGGTGAGAGGTGCTTTATGCTTTCTATTGATCCACCTGGTTTGTGTAGATCCAGGAGTCTCACAGGTATTCAGGTACGTACTTCTGCCACTAAATCCTTTCAGAAATCTACTGTTCTGTCATTTGTCATAAATCATTCAGATTCTACTCCCTGGCTTGTGGAGTAGAACTCTTCTCCAAGAGCTATTGCAGGTGGGGAGTGTCATGACCCAGGCTGGAAGCCCAGAGAATCACAAAGGTTCTGTGATCCCCTTGGGTTAAATTAAGGTGAAATGACACCAAACAACCAGTTATAATGTTTTACTTGAGGTAGAAAACAATTTAAACTTGGAAAAAGATAATAAGCAATGTGGTCTCATAAATTTATAAGAAAGAAAAGAAAGGAAAGGAAAAAAAGAGAGAAAGAGAGTCAAAGAAATCTGGATTCAGCGTTGTCTCAGGTCGGGTAGTGTTGGGTGGTGGGTGCACCTGCAGAAAAATTTTCTGTCACCTTTTAAGTTCTTCTTATCAGCTGATTAGCATACTAGAAGAGGAGGGGCAGGTATTCCACAAACTCATTTCTATGAGAGACAAGGAAAAACGTGGAGCATTGGGTGCCAGTTGAGTCAGTGGTTGAACTCACCCTGCCCACCTTCGGTTTTTCCGCTGTTCCCAGTGATTTTTGCTGACTTCATGCTTGTTATAAGTCATCCCAGAAATGATCACCTCTTACAAGTTCGTGTTACCACTTCAATGGCGAAGGAGCAAAGTCGTTAATGAGGCAAGCATGGTGTCTGGCTTGCACAATAGAGCCAGTGATCAGTGGTACTTGTGCCTGGGGGGAAACATTTGGTTTCAGTCAGTCCAATTTCCCCCCTTTGAGGCTTATCTAAGGAGTTTGTCAAAGTAGCTGCAAGGGAGTGGGAGCTGCACCCTTCCATAGGCTCCCGCTTCCTTGGGTGACATTCCTTAGCCTAATCCAAAGGCCACAGCTTGTCCTTGAGGTTTTCTGTGTTGATGAATATTTGAGGCATTTCTTCCTTCAGTTCCTCACAGGGAGAATGATCATCATGGGTGATAGAAGACCATTTATTTCTTTTGAGGCTGTGGCTAAGGGCTGACATCATCTCTGGATTCCCACCCTTGTTGGGTCTTACGGTGCTGTCCACCAAACGTGGGACACTCTTCATCTGCAGCATTCCAGCTGTTACCCTGACAAGTAAAATAAATGAGATGGTACCTGTGGCACTAGTCTGTGAATTAGACAAGTCCCGCAGCCTCTCTGGATCTCAATTCTTCATGTGTGAAAAGGGAGCAAGGAGGGTTTCCTGGGTGAATGAGTCTACTGGGTGGACAAATGCATTGCAGACTCTGCTCTCAGATGTTGCAGAGCAGCGTGTCGCTGGCTTTGCTTCCAGGGAAGACTGCTGGGTACTGTAGTGATAACAGGATGATGCTGGATGTGCTCAAAGTGCAGCTGTGCAGCACGTGGAGCTAGGTCAGCCTGCTTTTTCAGTCAACCTGTTCTCCAGTTACAAAGACATCGCTGCTTCCAGTGGCTCAACCACCTGTGTTGTGTCTCTCATCCGTGGGGCAGACATACGTTCAAATAAACTAAATGAAATAAGAACAGCAGCAGCAATCAGATTTCCTCTTTGTTTTTGAAGCTTTCTTCTGACTTGCTGCTAGCAACAAGTATAAAAATGTCCCTCTAATTATTGCGTCTCTATTCAAGCAGAGTACCTCTCACCTCTGTGCTCCTTGCATTTCTTGGAGACAGTCTGCTCTTGCTTTTTGCAGGCATGGGTTTAGCCTCCTGACACACCCTTGCTACCTGAGAGAGAGAGAGATGAAGAGGACTCTCCTATGCCTTATGCTCTGTCAGATGACTTTTTCAAGATATCAAGATCTCAGATGAGATATCTGTTGATATCTCTTACTAGATATCAAGGTCACAGCCCAGCTTTCTTGTTTCCGCATGAACAAGAAGGAAAAAAATAAAACTGAGTGCTGAATGCCAAAAAGACAGATTCTGGCATCCATTCTATTTAGTCTTACAGGGTACTTTAAACATAATAAACCTGTTCCCAAGGCAGGATGGGAATAACTGGGGGTGTATGGCAAGCAGGGTCTTCCATGGATGACTAGAAGAACAGGAGGTGGGAGGAGCTGTGGGTCCCGGCAAGATGGGAGATAGGATTCTGCAGACACAGCTTCCAAAGATGTGCTCTGCTTTGTCTACGACCGAGCCCTAGCAAGCCTTGTGATTAAATTTATAATGAGACTGCAGCAGGCTAAGCAGCTGTCTGACTGCTCTGTGCTGGCACAGTCAGAGTGCTCTCAGTAGCTCAGTGTGGCTACTGGCATCGCTCTGCAGGTCTACCAGATAGATGTGACTTTAGAAAACATCTCTGTTCCCTTCCCAGCTTCCGGTTAACCTTATTCTCTGTCTCCAGGTGGTGGTGGTGGTGAATGACATCCTTGCAAACTGTTCCGGGTCGTGCTCTTTCCAGTTCAGCCAGGAATTGACACCTGTAGTCAGTTATGTGGAGTATTCATCAGGTAACGGGGCTTTGTGTCTGAACAAAAAGGCAAAACCGCTCTTCAGTGAAAAAAGATCTGCCAGATGCTGACGACTTTGTGTGTGTGTTTATTCTTTTGGAAACTTCTGATTTTGTGGAAACTGCATTTTTTTAGTGGGATACTTCTGATCAGCTCCAGTCTTAAAATAAGTAGCACAGATATGTTTTTACATTGGTGAGAAGATGGTAGAGGCATAAAGGGGAGATAAAAGGTGATAAGCTTCATGCTTAAAGTAGAAGGTGACTCCTGGCTCAAGTTATTTTTAATAAAAATTTAATTTAAAAAGTAATAGCTGAGCAGGAACAGGCAGGAATAGGCATTATGAGGGACAACGAAAGATCATCAGTGGTATACTTTTTAGGCTGTCCTGATGAAGATGGTAAAACTGTTGTTTGGAAATAAATCCTGAGCATTGCTACACCAAAGTTAATGAATCATCTTGTTGTTATTCCTTCAGATGATGGGTCCCAGGCCACAGTAGTTATCAAGGGATCAGGCTTCACTGAGGAGAAGCCAGCCCTGCAGGTAGAGGTGAACAACACGACCTGCTACGTCATAACATTGAATCAAACTGAAGTGGTCTGTGAGATGGAGAGGTTGCCAGTTGGAGTCTACCGGGTGACACTACTGGTGAGACCTTATGGCTTCGCACTCAATGGCAGCACAGGAGAAGGCATCTTCCTAAGAGTTGAGCCAAAGCTGGTAGCTATCGAACCTCCCACAGCTTCAGAGATCGGTAGGTCTGAACAGAAGACCATCTCTAAAGGGATATCTACTTTCTGCTTCTTGTTTTTCATGCTATGTTTAATTTCTTCTGTACTTTGACTACCAAGGTCTTCATCTGAAACAAAAGACATAATATGGCTGGACACGCTGTGTGCATCCCAAAGCACTGGGGCAAGTTTCTTACAAAGAGTGACAGACTTTCCTTGGTTCTTTGTGGAGACAATCCGTTTTCCAACAAGTTTTGTTTGAGAATTGTAAATTGAAGTGCGTGTATATTTATTCCAAGAACCCAGAAGGCTATTAGTGTTTCATGGCTCGTCTTCCCATATCCATTTCAACACATAGCTTTTGTAGTATTTGGATCCATCTGGCCTAACTGTGAAATGGCTAAACTTTGATTCATCTCAGTTGAAGTGAATTCATATTGTGAGAGAAAATGTAAAACTCGCTTGTGTTTAGATACAAAATTGATAAACCTAGAGAAGCTCAAACTAAATTGAAGCTTCTTCCATTTCTATTACCCATCGTGTCCTTGAAACAGAAGGAGAAATAAAGGGTAATATATTCCATCCCTGAAGACAGGAGCTTGGAAGATTTTCCACAGTACTCTGGGGTCAAAGGACCATTATGACTCCCATCTGTCCTGTATGTGACACAGATGAGAGGACTTCACCTAGATGTTCCATCAGGGTGCCTAGCCAACTGTAGCTAAGCCAAACCAAAGGGTGTAAAAAGCCACCCTTTCTTGTTTGGGAGAGGGAAGAGTCTCCCCAGCCCGATGAGAAAAGTGGAGAGCACTCTTGACACCCCTGGGTTGTGCAGTAAGGACCAACGATCTCAGCGTACAACTTGTTTTCAAACAAGTATCTAGAAACAACATGATCCAGGTCAACTCCAACAGTAAAAGTCCTACAGATATTGTCTGGAAACCTCCTAGTTTCATCACTGAGGTTCTCTGAGTTCATGCTGACAAGCGTCACTGAGAGCAGGAGTACTGGCCTGGATTCAGCCATGTGGCTTGGAAAAATGCTTGTGCCACGCTTGCTCACCTTGGAGCAGGCAGAAGAAGGGAAGGATGGTCTGTGAACTTCTATGTGGATAAGTCTTGGGATGGTCTTGGGGGAAAGTAGAGTTCCTAAGCTGAAACGCAGGAAGTTATGGCCACCTCTTCACGTTATGTTGGAGTGTGTGGCAAGAAAAGTATTCTAAGCCTTTTCTTTTATCTTTTTTTTTAATTTTTCCTCCTCTCCAGTGGGAGGGTCATATAGTACATAAGGTTGATACTCACTGCTTTAATTGATTAAAAACCCCAAAAAACCAAAAAACACCCCCCCCCAAAAAAAAAAAACCAAACCAACAAACCCAAACCTAAAAGAAAATAGCCAACAGTGGCAAGGTTTAGTTTTTGAGCCTTGTTTCTCATTTCCTCTGCTGACAATCCAGTTCTTCTCCCAATTACAGTAATCTGTCACTCATTAAAAAGAAAGCAAGTATAATGGTATCTTACATTACATATGCTTTGAACATTTATAACTGGAAAGAATTACAGCTTCCATCTGTGTTTTTAATTTCTTCCATTTAAAATACCTCTCTTCAATCTTACCGTAAAGTGCACATATGCAGTATTTCATTGCATATGGATATAAGTGTAGATATCAAAACTTAAAGAGTATCAGTCCTTACACATCACACATGGATTTTATACTCTAAATCTGAGGCTCCTTATCTGACAACTGTCACATTAGACAATTGCCTTCAGTTTTGAGTTCTTGCTGTTTCTGGCTCTCTAACCTTAATGTGAGAGGAGAGGAAGCCAGGAAGCATTGTGTATTTTGTTGCATCAGGTCCCTCTTGTCAAAATATCACTGGTCTCAGTGGTGCTGCGCTGGGAGTTCCCTGTCACCTAACTCTGTAAGTGTGAGTGCCTTTATACTACCGTGCTCCAGGGGATGGAAGGAGCTTGTTGTTAATGTATCTGATTTCTGTTCTTTGTCTGGATTTGCAACCAGCCAGAGAAAATCTAGAAGATTAAAATTCTAGACTTCTCTGTTGCTTTAAAGAATTAGCAGGAAATGATGCTTTGAGGAAAAGGTACAAGGGACACTCACTGATATATACTGATGGGGTTAAGCCATTGGTGGATAAGGGAAGAGCAGCTGACATCATCTACTTGGACTTGCATAAAGCATTTGACAGTGTTCTGCATGACATTCTTGTCTCTAAATTGCCGAGACGTGGATTTCGTTGATAGACCACTTGATATATAAATAATTGGCTGGAAGGTCGCACTCAAAGTGTTGCGGTCAATAACTCAGGGTCCAAGTGGAGAGCAGTGACAAGTGGTGTTCCTCAGGGATCAGAGTTGTGACCGATGCTGTTTAACATCTTTGTTGGTGACATGGACAGTGGGATGGAGGCACCCTCAGCAGGTTTGTGGGTGACCCCAAGCCGTGTGGTGCAGTAACACGCTGGAGGGAAGGGATGTGCCACCCAGAGGGACCTGGACAGGCTGGAGAGGTGGGACCGTGTGAACCTTGTGAAGCTCAACAAGGCCAAGTGCGAGGTCTTGCCCATGGGTCGGGGCAATCCCAAGCACAAACGCAGGTTGTGGATTGGGAGTAGCCCTGTGGAGAAGGACTTGGGGGTATCAGTGGATGGAAAACTGTCTGTGAGCCAGCAATGTGCACTCACAGCCCAGAGAGCCACCCGTGTGCTGGGCTGCACCCAGAGCAGGGTGGGCAGCAGGGCGAGGGAGGGGATTCTCCTGCTCTACTCTGCTCCCATGAGATCCCACCTTAGAGCGGCCTCCCAGGACTTAAAGGGGCTACAGGAAAGAAGGGGAGAGACCGTCAGTGACAGGACAAGGCGTAATGGTTTTAAACTGACAGAGGGTAGATTTAGATTAGATGTAAGGAATAAATACTTCCCTGTGAAGGGGGTGAGGCCCTGGCACAGGTTGCCCAGAGAAGCTGTGGCTGCCCCCTCCCTGGAAGGGTTCAAGGCCAGGTTGGACGGAGCTTTGAGAAGCGTGATGTAGTGGAAGGTGTCCCTGGCACTCCTGTGGCAGGGGTGTTGGAACTAGATGATCTTTAAGTTCCCTTCCAACCCAAACCATTCTATGACTTTGCCACAGAAATTTACTTACATCACACGTGAAAAGCATCATGAAAGCTCAGTTGGTTTGTGATATAGTTATACTACATATACACACAAACACTTCACTAGTAAAGTTGTGACTGAGCAGTCTGTCTGCCCATCATCCTAAAACTCTGCAATACTGATAACTACAATAAACACCTGTAAGTTTCAAGTAAAATTTATAAAAAAAAATAATAATTGTTTCTGAACCTCATAAAAAACCCATTCAGGTTAGAATTACCATTAATGTCCATTCCTGTTCTGTTCCGTTTCTCTTTGAAATGTCCCTGAATCTTCTAGTCACTTGAAAAAGCAGAGGGGCACCTTGACTATTTGCATTGGAACGGGGTGTTACAGAAAGATCACATGCAAGTCTGATTGTGTTGGGTATGATCCTGCATGTGATTGAAGAGGCTCAGCTCAAAGGAGAGCTGAGGTTGCTCAGTGCTTTGCAAAATCAAGCCCTCTGTGACTTTCTTCACAACTCAAGCCCTGCCAAGTCCCCTTTCTAACCTAAGTTTCCTAAACACATGCTACAGGCTTTTTTTGACAGCAGGGTTCTTGGCAGCTATTTGAACTGTGAAAGCACCTGCTGTGTCAAGCTCATTTTCCATTCTTAGTGCTTCTTCCTTCCTTCCTTATTTCATTCTTGGGCTGGGGATCTTTCTAAGGTTGAGATCACAGGCCAGACCTTGCCAGCCTAAATAAGTATGTCATTAAAAAATAAACTGAGAAACAAACCCACTTCTCTTGTATCATGGACAAGAATTCGAATAATAGGCAAGAAAGATCTCTGGTGAAAGAGAGGAAGCTAGGCACAGCAGGGTAGAAGCAGATCATCATCAGATCAACTGGGAGACAGTGCTCCCTTTTATAGTCACCGATTAATAAAGAATCTTTTGCGCATAAAAATATAATTCCACGTCTTGAACCTAACAATAATTGGTTTTGTAGGAGGACTGAGAGTGGCTCTCAGGGGGACCAATCTGGAAGGGGTAAACTTGGTGTTGTTTGGATCTCAGCCCTGCCCAATTTTGGAAGATGACAGAAATTCAACAAGAATTGAATGTAAACTTCCCCCTCGGGTAAGAAACCACATTTATTTTTTTTTTTTGGGGGGGGGAGGGAACAGACAGCAGCCCTTAGCCCCTGATGTTTTCCTGGCCTGAGCTACACTGGCGAAGGGAAACAGTAGCCCATCAGCCAAGTCTTGGCTGTGGGACAATTTTCCATGGACTCCAACTACAGTTTAGAGCAACTTAACAGATACGCAGTTTATGAAAAACCAGTGAAACAGTCAGCAAAATATTCAGGTTGCATTAGCTAAGCCTCGCATAAACAAAATGGGGCTTTGAATTCCATCAAAATTTCATGTCTCTACTCTCAGTTGTCTGCTAGTCTGTTAAACGTGCCTGGGACAATTGCTCTAGCTCACATTGTTAAATCCTCTTCAGCTCCAAATCTTACACCTAGGCCTCCCCTGGACATTATCTGTGCGTTGTGGAAAAACATGCCTAGGGATTGTTAGCAGCAGTGCTCTTTGCTGCTTGTCAAAATTATACCTAAAATTATGTTAATAGTTTAAGTGTAGGTCTAACTGTCTATGCCTATGACTTACCACTGTTTAATTTACTAGTACGGATATAGCAAATGAAAATCTGTATAGCCTAGCATCATTCTGAGGCTTCTATCTCTCCATAGATGTCCCTTGAAAGTCAACATAACTGTACACATTTAAGTAGAGTTCGGTGTATATACAAATTTTGTCAGTGCCATGTGCCTGACTTCAGTATGGGAGATGCAGGAATACAGGGAATGGCTTCTTTATTGGTGCATTCCTATTTCTGACATTTCCTTCATTTCTGTTTTTAGGGGACAGAAGATGCTGCTGTCCGTGTGACACTAATTTCTGGGTATCAGTCAACAACAGTAAACAACTTGTTCCAGTATGATCCTTCCTTAAACCCTGCTGTTGTATCACTGAGCAGGAACAGAAGTGGAGTAGCAGGTGAAAAGGCTGCAGACATGTGTTGGGCATCATCTGTAGAAGTGCTGTTATTGCTGATGGTGGTGGGGCAGAGGGAATTTAGATTTATGGAGTTTGGTGACCGATGCTGTTTTCCTGTTGCTTTCTTTTAACCTGCGTTCCCCATGTTTCCTTCTAGTCCCAATCAGACCTCGTTGTTCTATGTTGGTTTTACTTTATCGTATATGAGATAACGAGTTGCTTGCCCTAGGCCAGTATGGATGATGCCCACAGGATGTCATGTGTGGTATAGTGCTCCTTTTGTGTCACATTTCTCTAACTTCGCTTTGAAATGACCTCAACCATTAATTCTTGGTAACAGGTTCAGCCATGACAAGGGGAATGAGCTCTAGAGAGCGTCCTTTCTGTTATCCCAAAGGGCTGATCATAAAATGCATCATGTGCATTATGGCTCCTTGAAAGCGGAAGAGAGGCAACACTTGTCTTGCTAATTCCTATTTCCAAGCCAAACTGTTTCCTCCAGTTTGACCTTGTGATCAGTTACATTAGAATATGAGTGTAGACTTCACGGAATTTGTGGGGACAAAATTCCAAGTATTAAATCTCGTGGGGTGTTGAGCATTCCTGCCTTTTGAAAGTTTATATTTGGCATTGTTTATTTGTCCTCATTTCCCTCTTTTTTTTTTTTTTTTTTTTTTTTTTTTTTTTTTTTTCTGCACAAGTCTTAGGCTGGGCACTGAGAATAGACATTAATGGTGAAAGGTGTCCACTTACAGACAAGTCTTTTAGGAAGAAGGTTTACTACAGTTTTGTATGGTAATTCCAGATTCCTAGTATCTGAGAGAGGAAGGAAGATAGGAGGAAGACAAATATTCTTACTTTCCTACCCAGACACCCCACTCCCATTTCTCCAAGGATGCAATCATCCGATTTATTTTTTTTTCCTCTCTTTTGCAACCTCTCCAGCGCACACCTTAATAAAGCTCCCCCCCAGCTCAGCAGCTTGGCTGGACTTGGTGGGGGTGCAGGGAGTTAGGTGACTGCCAGAGATGAAATGCACTTCTTGCTGCACGCCCGGCGTTTTGGTTCCTCTCCCCAAATGCCCTTGTCATTTTCTATTACTCCAGAATGCATAAATAAGAGAAAACGTCCTTTATCATCTGAATATTATTCAGATACCATAGCACCAAGGGGAGGTTTTTCTAGCTGCGGGCAGTCCAGGTGCAAGGAATTCCTTAATGCTACAGCGTCTTGCGAATGGTGGTGTGGCTGAGTTCAATCTCCTGTTCAGAACCTCCACGGCTTCGTATTTTAATATAATTTTCCTCCTATATAATAAAAAGAATAAATAAATTACACTAATGCCTTCCAGGCGTCTAGGATTAAGCTGACAATTGACCAAGAGTCCAAAGAGTTCAAGCTATTAATATATTCAACTTTGCAGGCTTTCAAACTTTATTTGACTCTTTGCTCATGCAGAATTGAAAAGTACTGGCTTCAAAATCTACTTGGAGGAACTGGTAGATGAGGGGGGGCTTTGTGAGGATTCCTGGAAGGCAGAGACTTCTCCAAAGCTGAGGCTGTGGAGCTGGATGGTTGTGGTGACCATGCCTGCTGTGGAGGCAACACTAAAGCCAAGTGGCCCTGGCCTCTGCTTGGAACACAAAATTGCTACTCAGGTATGGATCTCTAATAAAGATGCATCAACCTGTACAAGTTAATTTTCATTAAGACAAGGTGAGAGAGTAAAGCAGGTGAGAGATGCTCCTGCCTACCCCCCTGTGTGCCACGTGCTCAACGAAGAGGAGGAATGAGCGAAAGTGCCGTTCTGTGGCAGCTGATCTTTACCAGCCATTCTGAAGCAACTCCGTGGGTAGAAAAATGTTTTGTGGGCTGTCTGGCTCAGCGGGATGGTAAAGAGATATTAACAACCTTTGCCTAATTAATTTAGGAAAAGGATAGTGGTCTATGGCAGCAGGGAGTTAGACTTGAAGACCCCTCCTCGTCCTGTTTATTCCTGCTTCCGTGCAATTGAAGCCACACCCTTCAGGGGAGACGGGAGAATGAGATTCACCTCCTAAACACATCTCTGACTGTGCTTGCTGTTTGGATGGCTTGCACAGTCAGTGAAGATAAATAGATGGTTCTGTGTTGGGATTCACCATAGCTCTTTTGTATGTCATCCTCACAATAAGATGAACCGTGCCGTAAAGGTTCTGTTTCTCCTCACTGAGTACAGATAATAGCTATCTCAGTGAAAAATGCCTTCATTTGGACTGATGCAAACCACCCCAGTTTTTTAAGCTATTTCAGGAGGAATTTAGGTTATTAAATTCCCTTCTCTACTGCATCGTCCTTTTCTGTTACTGCAGTATGCACAAATAAAGGGAAGTATGCTCTATCATCAGAATATAGTTTGGCTGACAACAGATCTTAAACTGGAGAGAGCACTGTGTTTCCTGAAAACAAGGTGTTTTGGAGCTGTGCTGGTTTAGAGTTAATTTTCTACATTAACTAGTACAGGGCTGTGTTTTTGCTTTGTGGTGGAAACAGTGTTAATTTGGGGATTTTTTTAGTTATTTTTTTCAGCAGTGCTTACACAGAGTCAAGGCCTTTCTGCTTCTCGCCCCACCAGCAAGTAGGCGGGGGGGGGTACACAAGAAGTTGGGAGGGGACACAGCCAGGACAGCTGACCCCAGCTGACCAAAGGGATATTACATACCATGGGATGTCATGATCAGCACGTAAAACTGGGGGAAGGGGGGAACATTTAGGGATTTAGGGTTATGGAGTTTGTCTTCCCAAGTAACCGTGATGCATGATGCAGCCCAGCTTTCCTGGAGATGGCTGAGCAGCTGCCTGCTGATGGGAAGTGGTAAATGAATTCCTTGTTTTGCTTTGCTTGTGTGTGCAGATTTTAATTATTAAACTGTCTTTATCTCAACCCACAAGTTTTCTCACTTTTACCCCACCCATTCTTTCCCCCATCCCACTGGGAAGGAACGAGTGAGAGGCTGCGTGGGACTTGATTGCCAGCTGGAGCATCTGACTTTAGGTACCCAAGGAAATTCTCATGTAAGAGTGGGAGGCTCCTGTTAGCTCCGTAGTGCTGAACAGTGTGGTCTGGATCATTCATCGTGGATTTTTGAAAAATCCCAGAACTCCTCAGCTTCAGTTTGTGAGCCTTAGAAAGACTGGATTTGATATCTATAGGATAGATGTTTACAGTAAGGGAGCATGGATCCTATCCTGAGTGTGTACCAGCAGGCTGGGAGTGGCTGTAGATGGCCAGAGCCAAGTTTGCTGTGCTAATGTCTCAAGACAACCCTGGGGGCTGGTGACCTTACCAGGCATGCCAAGGGATGAGTGGGATGGGTACAGAACCACTGTGATCTTCTAGTTTTTGTTTTAGGCTGATGGACACGACTGGACCTGTTCTGGCATGATGGCACACCGTGCTCTTCCTCAGGCAATGGTTACACGTGCTAAAATAACTTGTCAGAAACAATGAAATAGTGTCACTCATTCTCCTCTTTGCAGGGGGTCAGGAGCTTCAGATTGGAATATCCCAGTTTGCCAGCTACTGGGGGTCAGACATCAAGGTCCAAATTGGGGGCCTATGGGCAGGGATCCAGGCGCAGACGGACCGTGGTGTTAATGTGACACTTCCAGCCTTGGCTGCGGGATGGTACAACGTTTGCGTCACCATCGGTGGCATTCCAGTTGCTTCAAACAGGTGTGTGAATGTCTACTTTCCTTAAGATAAGAATTTAATTCTACATCCTATTTGGTATTTTAGGGTTAATCTGAAAATAGAGGTAAGAGTTTTCACAAATTCCGTAACTAACGGTGAAATCTGCAGTGTGGTATAAAACTATGAATAATTATCAAGGCATTTATTGATCTGTGGAACCCAAGTCAGCAAACTGCTAATGCTAGTCAATTAACTCCCCTTGGATCAGTAGGAGGCAGGAGAGAAACATTTTAGAAAAAACAGTTGATTTGATGAAAAATGCATATTCAGGCAATCAAAGGCATTCAGAGATTCAGGTCAAATGCAGATAAATCCTGCTGTAGGAAAACAGCAGAAGAAAAACACTTTTCATGAGAAAAACAAAAGCTAGTTTGAAAAATAATAAAAGAAATTGCTTTGTTTGGAGAATTTTTAAATGATGCTATTTCCATCTTTTAAGGTGACACTTCAAGTTCATGCCGAGATAAATGTAGTATACGTGAATTAAAATGTGGGGGAAAACCAACCTGAAAGTGGGATGTAACAATGCGTTCACAAACAACACAGTTTTGGTCCTCAGCCACGCAGCTCTGTTCCATGGCAGCTGCTAGAAATGATCCTGAAACAATGGTGTTGGTGAGACGAGGGCTGCTTTTATTGCTCACCAACCACCATAAGCTGCTTGTTACGTTAATGAGCTTCAGAAGGAGAAAGCCTGCGGTCGGTCGGTGGGATGGCACACAGGGATTCATCCCATCTGATTCAGGAGTCTGTTAGCAGCGCTATTGCTTTGTCTCCGGGGATAGAGAGTAGAGGGAGATGGATCATCCCAGGAGACAACTCTGATCTCTGGTGGGCTGTATTGCAAGCTTGGAAAGGTCTGCTTCTCTAACGTGTCTTTTTATGGCAGAAGATGGTTTTGATACTTTCTGCCAATAAAAAGGGGGTGATGATGAGGAAAAAGAAGCATAGGTGGGATGGAAAAAGGGCTGCACCCTTATCTGAGTGGGCTTCGGGAGGTTATGTCTGGGTTTCATCTTGCTGCGTTTGCCTCTGCTCTCTGGTGGGAGGATGTAAGGGGGGAGGGCAGCTGGGATGGCTCTTCCATGCATGTCCATCTCCGAGCATGGCTATGGTGACATCCGTTTGGCAAAAAAATGCTCATTCTTGCTTCTTTTGATTGGTAATTCAGTTGCATGTCACGGACTAAATTTGCCCCACCTGTTGCCACCTGATAAGACAGTGTTCATAACAGATGTAGCTCGAATCATCTGGGAAAAAAAAAATAATGGGTGGGGATGGTCTTGTCACTGTGTCATTGAACAAAGTGGATGTGCCAGGTGGGTGTTTCTTTTCAACCTAGAAGGAGTTGCAAGAACGGCACCACAGCAGGAGAGAAAAAAATATATATAAAAATCCCCCAAACCCTTTTCTATGTTGCTTGTGTTTTGCAGGGTTGAGCCGTTAATCCAGTACATCTCGGAGATCTTCAGCGTAGAGCCGTGTTGTGGCTCCTTTCTGGGTAAACAGCTTCGGTACATCTGCAGCCACTTATGGAGGTTAAAGGGATCAAGGGCACAGTTTTCCTGCAGGAATGGAAAGGGCATCCCATTTCACATCAGTTTAAATGAGGGTGTTTTAAATCTATGACCCTTTATTATGCAGACATCAACTGGCAGACAGCAGCAATCTGGAAATGTGGGATTGTAGTGAGCATCCCTCAATCTGTTTGGCTGGCTCAGGGCTCCCTGTGATTGGAATTTGATTTCCCCAAGTGTTTGCTCGTGTATCCTTGCATGATCCCATTGGGAAAACAAAGCACGCCCACACCTGACTCATCTGTGCTGTTTCTTTCAGTCATTATGCCTCCATCTTTCAAGGCTTTCTGTGTGAAAGTTAGGTGGAAAGCAGCGTACAACTGTGGTTTGAAGCAAACAATAATTTTAAGTGATCCCAAAGGGGATGTTCATTTTTGTTAAGTTGAAAAGACAAAAAACCCCCAAAAAAACAAAAAACCAAAACCAAAACAACCCATCCTTTTTCAATGTTAATTTTAATCAAAAGTGAAATATTTATAAATCCCATTCCAAGCTTTTAAGCATTGGAAATAATTTAAGTGTGTTTCAGAGAACAGCATAACTGAATTAAAAAGAAAAGTTTTACTTTAAATCTTAAAAAGCGTATTTGGGGTGGTTGATTTTATTTTGTCATTTGTCTGGGGGTGAGGGGAGAGTTGAATCCCTGTAGTGAATTTTATATGAGCCCTTAGAAATGCTTTTATAGAAGACGGAGAAATGCTTGTGATGCAACCTCAGCTCCTCCACAGATTGCTCTCCCAGGCTCACAACACATTTAAAGACACAAAACTCAGAGGCTTTGTGGTACGTGATTAGTTCAATAGTTTGTGAAGTGCCCAAACCTTGAAAGATGAGTGTGGATAAAGTTGGGAGAGCAAAGCCTATCAGTTTTGAACACTAAACGACACTAAAAATAAATAAATAAATTACTGCACGCTTTAAGGGTAAATGGAAATTTAAATAAGAACGGATTAACTCTTTGGCTGCAGTTTTATGAATGGCCTAAATTGACTAAGAATCTCATCGCTGCAAAAAGCACTGGTCTTTCCCTACCTTATCTCTAGTCTTTTGTTATTTCTAACATTTGTGTGGCCATCTAGATTAAGGATTTGAGCTCACTCAGAAGGAACCCCATTATAAAACCACTTGGTTTTCAGCCAGATCATGGGAAAAGAAAGGCTTAATGGATAAAGAGGTTGAAGCAAGGTAGGACCCTGGGAGTACCAGTACTGTAAATTAAAGGAAGATGGAGAGAGGCTCCAGCTGAGCTCTGGGCTTGGAAGCATGGGATTAGGCTGGGAATGCTGGAGGATTTGCATTTTTATAATTAACACTTCCTAAAATCCAGACTGCTCCTACTTCAGCGCTGCCCTGATTCTCAGTTCCCCGTGAGGCAGTGCAGGTACCACTGCTTTGCAATATTATGTAAATCTAGACATCAGGATTCGTGCTTATTCCAATAATTAGCACTTACTCTTATTGGTAAGGGCAGTAGCAGAAACTCCGAAGGCTCCTGGTGTTGATGTGGAGAGGAAGACTCCGTTGCCGTGTTGCAGAACAAATGCCCTGGATCAGATCAAAGATAGCCTGTCTCCCAGTGTGACCCAAATATAGGATGATTTAGGAAGATTATGTGAGTGAAGCAGTGTATGATGGTACTTCTCTACAACAGTCTTCCAGCTCCCAACAGTAGACACAAAGACAGCCTCATCTGGAGCTCAGAACTTTGTGTCTAACGCTTCCTGAATTGTTTTTCTATATAAACGACCCTATCGGTTCACACCAAGAGTCTGTTTACCCATTTGCTGCTGTGGTTTTAAGTAGATACCCAGGGAATAAAAACTTCCAGATAACCACAGGGGAAAGCAGCCAGCCTGTCTTCATCTAGCCCATGCACGGGAAGCCCTGGTCAGAGTTGTCTTTGGCAGTGAAGGGGAAGCAACTCTTCTCTTTTTGTTCTACCCATCTTAAATGGTGCGAACTGGGAGCATGTAAGTAGGGGAGAGCTTGAGGCTGGAAGTATTCATCAATGTATCAGCTTTTCTGGTCAGTGAACTCCTCAAGGGCAAGTGACCATCAGTGCATGGCCAATCTGGCACAGTGCCTGAGTGGCCAGGCAGAACTGAAGACTGAAGGACAGCCTGTGGTTCTGGCTGTTTGTTTGAAAACAGTCCTACCTCGTTCTGCTTCCCTGTATGCAGCAGGACCGAACCATCTACCATCTCTGCACCTGCCTGTACAGTCAGTCCCATTCCTTGAGGAGTTCAGTCTCAGGAGGCCTCTCACAGCAGCTTCCTCCAGTTCTGTGGTGGCTTTCCACCGTTATCTACTGCCACAAAGATCCCTGGTTATCCGATACCTCAGCCTCTTGTCCACATAGGATTATCATGATACATGACTGCTATTATCTCTAGCTGTCTTTTTCCAAAAAAAGGACTTGATTTCTTCTTCTATTCAGCCTGGCTCAGACTGTCTGCCATACTTATCAGCTTCAGCATGGTTTGTGATTGTTCACAGCCATTAATTCCTTTCCTGCATATAATGTGATTCTTCCTTATTTTGTTTTGCTCCTAGGTGGGACACTGCTCACAATCTCTGGGGTGGGCTTTAGCCAAAATCCTGCCCTGGTTTCTGTTTCAATGAACATGCAAACTTGTATGGTTACTCACTCGACAGAAGAGACAGTTTGGTGCCTGACCCCGCCAGCTGCTAATTTGTCTAATAAAGATTCACAAGATGTCTCTGTCAGAGTAAATGTAGTCATCAGCAGCAGGTCACTTCAACATTCTGTCTTTGCAAAAAAGACCACCATCTTTAATTACCAAAGAGCTTTGACTCCTCTGGTTACTGTTGTTGAAATGGAAATCACAGATAGCAGCCTGCTCCTGAGCCTGCAGGGGATAAAAATCACTGGATCCGTGGCTAAGCTTGGACAAAGTGAATGTGAACTTGAATGTCAACGTGGCAACAGGTCTGCAACGTTTTATCAGTGCTCTTTTCCACTGAACAACCTGGAACCTGGGACTTTCCCCATCCAGGTTATCCAGAGACAGCTAGGATATGCTCGTGTGACAGCAAGGCTGCAGGCCCTTACAATAACTCCACGGATAACCTCCATATTTCCATCACGAGGATCAATCTGTGGTGGGATGTTACTCACTATATCTGGTATTGCTTTAAAATCCAGGAGGAATTTGGTGCAGGTCAGCCTGGAGAGTAATTATTCCTGTGAGATCCAGAACTCTGATAATGATGCCATTAGTTGCATTGTCCTTCCAGGGGCCCATCTTTTGCATCAGCAGTGGTTGGCTGAGGCATCTTGGGCTCTTAATGTCACAGCGACTGTCAATGGGATCAACAGTGTCTGCCTTGGAGACTGTACGCTCCACCTTCATGAGCAGTGGACCCCTCTCGTTGATTTGGTCACCTGGGAGATCAATGGGACATTCACCCATGTGATGATCAAAGGACAGAGGTTGGCATGGCCAAGTCATAGCCCCATGGTACACATGGATAACCAGACTGTCTGTAAGGTAACTTTCTGGAACAAGACCAGCATCCAGTGTCAGACAGAGTGCATTGCCCCAGGGGAGCACAACATTTCCATATCCAACAGGAAAAGTGGGCGAGCTTGCTTCAGAGGGGTGTCCAGTGTTCTCACCGTCCTGCCCCAGGTGTATCAGTTTTACCCACGGAACTTCAGTACCAATGGTGGAGGCCTGCTCACCTTAGCAGGCTCGGCACTGCAAGGAAAGAGAATGACTGCTGTTCTCATTGATCAACACCCTTGCCTCATTCTCAATGTCACCTGTGTAGCTATCCAGTGCACGGTGCCTCCGGGTGATGGGACTAGGGCTTTGAGCCTAAAAGTAGATGGCGTCTCCTATTATCTTGGAAATATAAGTTATAGTGAGGAGTTTACCCCAGCTTTCCTTTCGCTTGTTGCAACTGGTCTCCTTTTAACGATGACAGTATCACAGGTCGCAGAGTCGGACACCATCTACGTATTTGTTGGAGACTTTGTTTGTAGCGGTGTCACCATCACTCGCTCTACTTTGCAGTGCTCAGCTCCTCAGCTCCCTGCTGGCGAGTACCGTGTGCTGGCCCTGGATGTCCCCAGGGGCTGGGCTTCCTCCAACCTGACCTTCACCTCTCCACTGATGGTGACAGCTGTGCAGAACAACTGGGGTAAGTCATGAAGGTTGCAGCTCCTCCACGGGGTGCACTGTGAGGGACTGTGGTGAGTGGGGTTTTCTGGCATGAAATAAAAAATTATGAATTAAAAAAAAATACCCTTGATGACAGCTGGTTGTTGGGCTCTGTTTTAAATCCCATTTTCTGTCCTTTTCCAAGGTGGCTTGAATGGAGGAGCAGTTTACCTGCATGGAACTGGGTTTTCCCCAGGGAAGACTTTGGTCACAGTCTGTGGAATCAATTGTGGACTGTTGGGCAACACAACGATGACCGACCTGAGCTGCCTTGCTCCACGCTTAAACGGTCAGCTAAGACACGAAACCTGGCACTGGGCTAAAAATATCCCCTAAAAGCCTATCTTGACCCAAAAGTGGGGTATCCTAGTGTATATATCCCAGGGGAACAGCACAGTAACAACTCTGGAGAAAGGAGAGGAGCCAACATAGCACTGACTTGTGCTCTTTGTGCTCAGTCCAAAGGCAGTTGCTGTAAGGGAGAGTGTTTGTGTCAATGGCCATGGGTTTTGGACTAGATCCACCATGCCCCTTTGATCACACATGCTCTGTGGATCCACACGAGATGTGTAAAATGTCAGCAGTTCCTTGTGGCAGTTGTTCCTTGGGAAAAACGTCTCACATAAATGTGCATGAGGGCTGTAGGGTACCCAAGCACCTCTTGGACATCATGACCAGCACTCGGTGTTGGGACCATTTCTGTTCAATATCTTTATTGATGATCTTGATAAGGACATAGAGTGTATTATCAGTAACTTTGCAGATGACACCAAGTTAAGCAGGAGTGTTGATCTGCTTGAAGATAAGGAGGCTCTACAGAGAGACTTGGATAGATTGGATTGGTGGGCCAACATTAACGGGATGAGCTTCCACAAGACCAAGAGCCAGGTCCTGCCCTTGGGCCACAACAACCCCCGGCATGACTACAGGCTCAGGGAGGGGTGGCTGGAGCTGTCTGGAAGGGTCTGGGGGTTCTCATTGACAAGCAGCTGAACAGGAGCCAGCAGTGTGCCCGGGTGGCCAAAGAAAGCCAACGGCCTCCTGGCTTGGGTTAGAACTAGTGTGAGCAGCAGGAGCAGGGAGGTGACAGTCCCCTGTGCTCGGCACTGGTGAGGCCACACCTGGAGGGTTGTGTCCAGGTTTGGGCACCTCAATCCCAGAGAGATCTGGAGGGGCTGGAGCGAGGGCAGAGGAGGGCAGCGAGGCTGGGGAAGGGCTGGAGAATCAATGCTGTGAGGAGCCAGGGAAGGAGCTGGGAGTGTTCAGTGTGAGGAGGAGGAGGCTGAGGGGAGCCCTCATCCCTCTCTGCAGCTCCTGACAGGACATTGCAGAGAGGCTGGGGCTGGGCTCTGCTCCCAGGGGATCAGGGACGGGACAAGAGGGAACGGCTGGAAACTGCCCCAGGGGAGGGTCAGGCTGGGCAGGAGGAGAAAATTTTTCAGGGAAAGGGTGATCAGAGAGTGGAACAGGCTGCCCAGGGAGGGGGGAGTCCTCATCCCTTGGGGGGGTTTCAGGGCTGTTGGGATGAGCTGTGGGGGATGTGGGGTAGGGGAGAACTTTGTAGAGTTGGGCTGATGGTTGGACTCGATGATCCCGAGGGGCTTTTCCAACCTGAATGATTCTACGATTCTAACTTAGTGAGTTGAGCTCCCTTAAATGCCTTTTTTTTTTTTTTTTTTTTTTCTTCTGTGCTCCCATACGTTTAGTGTTTTGGCTGCATGGTGGGACAGCTTCAGTGGGGTAAGGAGGTGGGAGGAAAAAGTTGAATGACTGGGAGGGTGAACAAATGATGTACTATGTTCAGTTCATACCTTTGGGAACCTGGAGATAAGGATTTGAATTCACTGAGAGGAAGAGGGGATCACCCCACAGCCAGAGCACCCTCTATAACTGGGAGGGAATGATGCCACAATCTCCAGCTCGATCAAAGAGAGAAATAACCCTGCCTCAATCTTGGCGGAAACTCTTCAAAATAGGCATTTCCTGAGAGAAGGTGTATTTCCTCTCTCCTACTGGCAGCACAGAATTAGACTCCTAAGATTTACAAAAGGCAGGATTTAAGATTTTTAAATATCACCCTGAGATACACACCATTCCCCAAATGCTAAGCACAGAGCACCTTCTTCCTTGGTGCTGCAGCATTGCCACACTTGGTAGTGTAACACTTCAGCCCCTTCATAACTTTGATGCTAGGAAAACATCCTGAGATCTACGGAAATATTTGCTGTCCCGTGGCCATCCGAAGATCCGTTATCCAGGTGACCAAAGACCCATGGCCTCTTATCCTTTGTGAACCTGGAATAAAGGTGGCAGTGAGAGAGTCCATCAGGGTAAATTGCCAGGGGTTTGCTCAAAGGTGTGTGGAATCTCCATCCTTCAAAACAGTCAGAATTTGATTAGATAAGTTGTGAAAGTTAACTTTTTTTTTTTGTTGTTTTTTGAGAAAAGGTTGGGACAAGAGGCATCCAGGGGTCCTCTCCAGCCTCACTTACTCCAAAATTCTGAATTTGCTCTTGTCATTTTGAATGGTTTCTTTCCTCATCCATGACTAATGCTAAGAGAAATGGAGGGAGGGGGGTGGGGGGCGGAAAAGGGCTTTAAAACCCAACCACAAGCACTCAAAAGGGCACCAACAAGTTGTAAGGGCTCAATTTTCTTTGTTTTAAACAAGATCCAGGCACAACTCACAAAAGTACTTAATTTTTTTTTTTTTTAAACAATAAAAAAGACATAGTGCTGAAGTGCTGAAAAAAAAAAGAAAAAGAATATCAGAGCACAAAACAGGGAAGTGTGGTTATTGCAGGAACAGTAGCAGAATAAAATGTAATCAAATTGATCCAAACTGTGAAAACATTAATAACTGTGTTCAAAATTCACTGAGCGGTAGGCAGCAGAGGGAGCCTGGGGAAAACCATTTCGCAGGCAGGACCAAAATGCTTATTGCTGACACTAGATGTCAGCAAGTGAATGCTGATGGCTGCTCGTTTGCTGGTTGAGTTTCTGGAGAGAAGATGCAAAGGATGTGCTGCCTCACTAACCAAAGGGACACAGGCACTATTGCTTTGAGGCTAGTTACAAGACAATCCCTCTCTCCCCTGCCATGGATTTTGCAGTGTGCAGCCTTGCAAATCTCACCAGTCGAGTTACAAAAATGTTCGTCTGTCAATGGAGTATTTACAGGATTTTTTTTTTTTTTTTTTTTCATTTAAAAACCCCCACATTCTTTGCAGGCTGCTTAAATTTGTGAGTGTTTGCCAGGTTATTTATAGTGCCCGAGACAAATGTGTTCATACTGTGTATATCTACATGCAGCATCAGTGAATCTATATATAGAGCAAGATGCTTTCTGATAGCATTCCTCCTAATATTAAAGTGATTACACCCCCCCCACCATTTAGGGCATAAGTGGCTTTATGAAGTGCCGTTAGTACAGTCTCACCTCGTGCTTTACGTGATGCTGTTTGCCCGGGGAAGCTTGCCACTTGGCACTCACACATCCAGTGCTCAGACCTTTCTTTCACAGCCTCATCCACGCGGGAGAGGTGGGGAAGCAACTTCAGGGATGTGGGACCCCGAGCCATGAAGGAGATGGGAGGGATAGATCGGTGGTGCCCCAGGGCCCCTTTGGTGCAGAGGCTGGTGCAGCCAAGTTGGATGCTTGTCTGACACTTCCCAGCGCTGCTTGTGGACCGGGTGATGAGAAGTGAAGAGTTCAAGCTGCATTTCTACTGTTACAGCATGCTGTGAAGCAGAAATGCCTCCCCGCTGGCACTGCGGGACGTCAGGTGGCAGCTCGCTGCCCTGGGGTTTCAGTGCTAGGTCATGTTGTGTCTGGCCTGTTTAAGATTAGAGGTGTTCACGTGGGAATCCCCAACCGGCACATCTAGCTTACTCATGTGATCAAATCCACAGGGCAAGGCTCTGCAGGTAGGAAATGTGACTACTTTCCCATTTAACAGGCAGTTTTTGAAGACACGAGGAACCCCCCCCCCTCTCAGCAGGATCCATCCATAAGCCTGCCCCATGGGATCTTCCTTAGGAACGGGAGCTGAGCGGGGTTGTAGCAAGGTTTTGGTTTGATCTTTGGCAAGAGCTGACCACGTGAAGTATTGAAACATGCTAAGTCCAGGGCACAAGGAATAGGAATGTAAGACTGCAGAAAAAACAAATCAGAACAGAGCTAAATTTGAGATTCACCCTTAAAGTTTAAGAAAATTAAGAAAATTAAATTAACAAAACTACACTCCCTTCAAGAAAAACCAAAACTGAAGCAAAAAGCCCCAAACCTCAAAGTCTTTAAAGGTCTGGTGAAGAGATAACTGGCTTGATCCCCAGAACTTTCCCCTTCTCTTGTTCTTGCTTTGTTGCTTGTGTCACAGCACTGTTGATGAGTGCAAATACAGCTGTGGACTCTCTACAGCTCAGCTTAAATTTACAGAACCCATGGTTAATGTCTGTGGGATTGAACTGTGCTCCTGTGAAAGGTGGGAAGACTGGCAGGAAGCTTGAGGCAGGTAAAAAAATAACGGAACGTTCCTATTAGGTGATATTAGGGTAGGAATCATATGTAAGTTTTGCAGTTAGCCAGTACCTGAGATTGTATGTTTGACATTGGGGTGAGGGTGAAGAAGGGGCTTTCAAAAGGAGGTGAACTGATAAGAAGATCCATCTGGGAAAAATCTGAGTCCGATTTGCCTGGTTGCATCCGTGTGCTTGGAATAACAGGTCTGGCTGTAGGGCTTTGATGTAATGGCTCTTGGGATCTTTGTTAGTGAGTCCTGGACCTACCGTTAGCCAAAATATATTGGTAAAAGTGGATGTTTAGGGAAGAGGATTTAGATTAAGGCTAGAAATTAAGTTAGACTGGTTTAAAAGGAGGAGAAACATGGCTTGATGTAGCTCTTTTTATGGGGCCAGATGAGAGAGAGGAATGAAGTTTTGGTTGCAGCAGTGCAGATGAACCAAGGAGAGGCACTGAGCTGGGACCAAGGGAGACTATAGCCTGGGAAATGGGGTGATTTGTATGAGTAAATGCAGAAGATAACGAAGAGGATGTGTTGTGGCAATTGAGACCTCAGCAGAAGCCAGGGCCGCTGCTGTTTGTTGTGGAGATCAAACCAAAGGATCCGAATGGTCCCTTCTGTCTTTCAAATCTGGAAGTGAAATTAAGAAAAAGGAAAAAGAAATGCATATTGATTGCACCCCAGGAACGTTCTGTCAGTGAGATCTATCAGGCAGTGAAATAGATGCTTGCAAAGTCACCTCTTGGGACTTCTGAAACTCAGCTGTGCAAAACGATTGTTTCCTAGGGAACAGTTCTTCATTGGTAGAGGTTGGACCTGGTGACGTTAACAGGTCTCTTTTTTCCTCTCACTTTTTTTTTTTTCTTTTTTAACTTTTGTCTTTTCTGATAAGCACGTTACTGTTATGCTCTGCAGTCCGTTTTGTGAGCAGAGGAATACGGAGGATGTGGGGTTTGGCACCGGGACTCCTTGGGCAGTTGTTCAATCAATCTGCAGCTGCCCATGGAACTCCTGGAGGTTTTAGCCTCATCACATGTCCAACAGTTGTTATTAAACAGTGACCCAGAACAAAGCCCTTGTGCTGAGCATCCCAGGATCCTGGCTTAAGCCAGAGTATCCCTCAAAGACAGGGTTGGGGGCAATCAGTCCCTAACCCATTACCAACATGCGGAGATTTGGCTGCCGCTGTGTCTGATCTCAAAAGAGAATCCGTAATGGGATGAATGCATTCATCTCAGTGATGGGATTGTATTACGTATGATTAGTGGGTTTTATCTTTATAGGAAACATAAAGCATTAAGAAGCTTCATTTTGGGGTTTGAACACTAACCAATTAAGCAGGGAGAAGAATTCTGTCCCAGACAAGCAGACTATACTTTTAGGACATACTAAGTGTGTTGCAGTCTTTATCTGATATTTTCTCTTTACTGTTGTGGTAGGAGATAATGACACTAATAATGCCGAGAGATTTTTGCATTTAATGGTCAGAGGAAGGGGGATGAAAGGCCAAGACTTCCTCCTAACTGAGAAAAGTATTAAATCCTTTGGGAAGAGGGAAGAAATCAGAATTCCTCAGAGAAGGAATGAGAATTGGTTATCTCCTGGAAGAGTGGTATTTCCATCAGACAGACAGGAGTTGTAGGGTGTGGAGATGAGATCCCTACCTCCTTTCACCTGAGAGGGAGAGAGCAGTCCTAGGTTTGGTTCTGGAGAGTGTACATTAAGCAGCATTTTCTTGGATTTTGCTTCCATCACTCTATAACCCTTTGTATCCATGTTCTTTAGCTTAGATTTTATAAATTAACACCTTCGTTTGCCTGGTTTGATTTAAAAATTATTTCAGAATTTGGAAGAATAAAAGGCCTCGTGTTCCTGCAGTCATAATAATATTGAGATGAGGGCAGTGGAGCACATCGGAAATGCCCGATTTCCACATAACGTTTTGGGGGTATCCCAAAGGAGACGGGCTGTTCTGCTGAGCTCTAAGGGCTGTGCAGGAAATACCTCCCAGTGATCTACTTTCAGAGGCAAGTTATTTGACAGCAGCAAGGTATTGAGGAAAATATTCACATCCTGAGATTCTGTGGGTCGTTTCTAACATTCATCCTGAAATAGGATTCAGCTGTTTTCCACCTAGAAAAAACGCTGCCATGTTCTCTTCAAGACCACAAAAGGAAACCAAAGCCTCTTTTAATTAGCTCAGCAACCTGTTGTGTTTTCTTAAACTGTGGAATGTAAATTTAATCTTCCCTTGACCACCCACCTTCAGAGAGTGGCCAAACACTGGAACAGGCTTCCTAGAGAGGTGGTCAATGCCCCAAGACTGTCAGTGTTTAAGAGGCTTTGGACAATGCCTTTAATATAATAATATACTTTAAGTTTTGGTCAGCCCTGAGGTGGTCAGGCAGTTGGATTAGATGATCTGGGGAGGTCCCTTTCGACTGAAAATGTTCTAGTTTAGTCTGGTGTCATCTGACTGTGCACCAGTATTGCTCTGGTTGGTTATTCATCTAAGGTAGCTCTATGTTCTCCATTACCACATCTGAGCTTATCGCAGCCTTTCGTGTCACTAGTAGAATAAAATTGTAAAGCAGGAGATGTTATATCCTGTTATAAAAGGGGACTAAATTCTCTCGTCCACAGAAAGTTGTGGGTTCGTGGAAAGGGCAGTGCCATCGCTGCCTGATGTCCTTCATCTTTGCTAGTTTTGAGAAGTCCTCACGCTTGACTGGCTAAAAAAAAAAAAAAAAAAAAAAAAAAAAAACATTCATTTCTTTTGGATACATTCCTGTAATGAATTGGTTCTGCTGCAGGTTGTTGCAAAGGCAAGTTCTTTGTAGTATTTAGTCCTCTTGGATGGTATTAATTTGCCAAAACATATCTAGTGCCACTTAAAATGCCCTTGGTACGGCAGCCTGGCTTCAAAGAAGACACAAGGCTTCTGTGGGCACTGTAGAACAGCAGAGGTGGCTCTAGACGTAATTTCTGGACAATAAAAGCAAAATACAGGCATGGTGCCATCATCCCTCTAGTCTTCTCTGTCACTTGTGTCTCTCATGCTTATATGTAGGTCTTTGAGGCAGGGATTGCGTTTGGCTGTGTTTGAATGGATACTGAGCGAGAGAATTGTCACTGGATTTGGAGAAGGAAAGAGATTAAGCACATTGCAAAATGTGTGAAGTAATGATGTGGGCAACCTTTTTCTTATTCTAAATCCAGAGAAGAAAAATACGGAAAAAATGTGAACTCTCTCTCTGAAGTTCAAAGCATAAAATGCTAGGTTTTAATGTTTCAAAAACACCTTAAACATTAAACAGTTATAAACTTTTCAAAAATACTCCATATGAAATAATAATTTTTAGCAAAAAGCGTTAAATCTTTTAACACAGGAAATACAGCATTTTTATACTTTTACCATCTCAAAACCCATTTACAGAAGTGGTTAGTAGCTAAGACATTCATTGACAATGACACTTTTCCAGCAAACAAGATACCTTTTGAACAAACTGGAACTTAAAAAAGCAAACAACAACAACAACAAAAAAATCCTTTCTTGATAAATTCCCATCGATTGCTCTTCTGATACTTGAGGACCACTCTTGGATACTGCACTGTGGACTGTAATACTGTCCACAGATATTTTCAGGAGCTCATCATCAACTTAATCAAACAACTGCTTGATTAATTCAGGATTAATGACAATTCTCCAAAAGTCTTGACATGTTCAGGGTTTGGAAAGAAACAGTTTTGATCTCCAGCATGGTTTAATGCTTAAAGGAATCCTTTTTTAAATTATTAAACCCAAACATTTCAACTGATCTGAACTTCAGTGATAGTTCATCATATATATATATTTTTTTAGCATTTTTGTCTGGGTCTAGAGTAAGAAAACCTAATTTCCGTTCACACCACTTATTCCTTAAATATGCCTCAAAGCAAAGCAGCTGCTCCCATTACGCTTCCGACCACATTCATGGAGTCAAACTTGGACCAGGTCTTTAGTCACACTCAGGTACAAGGCAAGGTGAGAGAACCCACTTCACACAAGCTCCCCAGCAACCCTCCAAGCTGTGACAATGATTTCACGAAACCTGTTTCTGGATTTTGAAGTTGTGATAGAATGTTAAATTGTGACATCTCCCTAGTAAGAGGTTTGTGCCTTATACCTGATCTGTAAACCATGGTCTGTCTTCCCCAGAAGAAATGGTCATGATCGTATCTTATCACTAATGTCACCTGGACAGAGCGATTTGATCCCAGAGACCCTCCTGATGCTCAGCACACAAAGGAGGTGACATTCTTGCTTACAGAAACCAAAAGGGGCTGAAGGAGTTGCACGAGGACATACTCACCCTCAAAAAGGATGCACCCAAAGAGAGGTTGAGACATGCGCATCAGGAAGCCAGACTGACAACAGTTGGTAGCTAAAATATGCTTAATATCCGTGGCGTGTAAGCTGCTTTGGGTTATAATTTTCCTTTCTTGTCTTTGCAGCTTCTTTGTCCGTTCTCTGTGGCCTGACACCTTCTTCTGTTGACTGCCGAGAAGAGCGCGCCACCTTCATTGCATGTGATATCCAAGTCACGGTGGGTTCCCATCACCAGACAGGAGCTGTGTCTTACCTGTATGTCTGTGAGGACAGGCCACCTCAGTGGCACCGGAGGGACATCAGCCCACCCCAGAGGCATTTTGCTGGACTCTTTGCCAGGTTAGTGCTGCGTTTCTGTAACGGCTGGGTGGGCCCATCCATGAGTAAGGTTCCCCAGAAGGTATTCCACCTGTTGCAGAATCGGGCCCTGCCAAATGATGGGCTGAAGGGGCAAATTTCTAATTCTTAGGTTGATGCCAATGGAGCAATTTAGCCTTGAGACCACTAGAGAGCTCTGCTGGGTTGTGAAATTAATTCCTTGTGTCTATCAAAGCATCTCCAGTCCCCCCTCCTTCCCTCCCATCTTTTTAAAGTGTTTGAGAGACATCAGAAAATCCATCTCGTAAACAGCCTGCTTTGTTCCTTCTTAGGTTTTAATATTTATCTTCTGATCCAAAGCAACATCTGGTGGATGCCAATGGGGAAAAAGATTAGGCATTATGAAAAGCAGAAGTATTTTTTTTTCTCCTTTTTTTTTTTTTTCTTTTCCCCCTTCCTCTCTCCAAGCAGTTTCATGAGTAAAAAGTCACAGGGAAAATTCAGCAGGCTGCGCAATATTTACTCAGCAAGGGTGCTCAGGCACTTACTCAAGGCTCAGGCTTTGCAAATCCAAGGCCAAGTTGCCCAGGAGTATAAATTGGTACCACTGCCTTTAATGGAGCGGTGGGGATTTATACCTGCAGAGCATTTACTTCTAGGAGTAAGAGGGAGGTCTGAATTAAGGAATAAACAGATGAACAAAACTTTCCAGAACACACTAAACAAATTGAGAACTAGAATATCACTGCAATGTGTTGCTCATGATTCGCTGTGCATAGTGAACCCGTTCCCAGGTGATGCACGATGCCACAGTCCAGCTATTTCAATAGAGTTGCAGAGATTTGGTCCTCAACTTTATCTGGTCCTTATGTCACAGGTGGTGTTGGGAGTTACCAAAGGGAGTTCTGAACGCCCTGTGTTGAGGGAAGCAAACCAACTGGCATTTACTGAACAAAGACAACAAGATATGAGTTGCACATTTTTTCAATATTTTTTTTTTTTTTTTTTTTTTTTTTTAAGTTTAATATGGTTACAGTATCTGCTTGTCAGTCTGTCACTTTTCAATTTGACCTGGGTTTTGTAAGGGATGGATGTCTTAAGAATTATGAAATTCTTGTCAGTTTTGAGATAATCTGTGTTAGACAGAAATAAATTATTTTCCTGTTGAGAGGAAGGCAGAATTCTGCCCTGATCTGCTGTTTGCCAGCAAACTGCAGGCCAGAGAGCAGATACGTATGGCTGGACAGCTGATGTGTCCAAAGTCACACTGTGCATCGGTAACGTCCTATAACATCCCAGGAGGTGGGGGGGACAGCTGGGGGAGATGAGAGTAGGGAGACTTAGAGGGTGAAAAAAAAAAAAAAATAAATCTGAAGTTAAACTAATTTAATCAGTTCTATTGCTCCCAGAATGATTTGTTTCAAAACAAGAAACCCTTGTCTTAGCTGAACTTTGCTTTCCTTTTGCCCACACCAGTGTAACCCCAAACCAGGTAACCTACAAACCTGAGAGCAACAGGGCAACCCAACATCTGGATCTTTGTTTTTTTGTTCCCCGGGTATCAAAACTGTGCTCAGCTTTTTACTGATAAAAAAACCCAAAAACAACAAATGCAGCTGCCATGAGTCTATTCCTATGATTATTTTTATTCTTGCTCCTTTTCTTGGTTCAGGCTGTTATGGTGAAGGGAAGTCAGGCAGTCCATTCGCTGATGGCTTCCTTATTGTTTTTCACCATGGTCTTTTCCAATTTAATTGTGAGTGTCCCAGACATAGTGTTTATTATCCTGCAGGGAATCCTATCAGGGAGCTATTCTGAGTCAAACCAATCAACCTTTTCTTACCTACAATTTTCCCATACTTCCATCTTCTTTAACCTTTTTGTTATTGTCATTGTCTTTTCCACCTACTGTGCGCTTAGTTAGAAACTAAAACTTGGGCTGCTGAGGAATTTTCCAGAGTATTTTTTTTTTTTTTGGTGAACCTATTTCCAAATTGGTTCTTGCTGAAGGGGAGCAGAGGCAAAGAAGATTGATTGATTTCCAATGAGTTTCCTAATGGGAAAAATCTGGGGAGAATTAAAGGAAGAGAGTTTAAAGTCATCCAAGTTACTTACTTCGGAACTTTTGAAAACATTTTTTTCAAATTTCACTTCAGAGAAATGTCTAATTTCAACATATTGATGGAATTTTTAGCAAAGTGTTAGGAAATTGAAATCTTCAAACTAGAAAATAACTATTTTGGGAATTCCTGAAGTAATGCACATTTATTGCTGCAATTAATAATAGTAACTAATAATGACAATAATAATAAATATACAGATTTGAGTTCTGTGCAAATGTTCAAGAGTTAAGACATTTGTCCCAGGATGGGGACAAAACTACTGAAATAATTCCTGGCTTAACTGCACATTAAATCTCTCTTGTTTTTTCCTACAAGTGGGCTGAATAGTTTCTCCTAATCTAGGTTGTACCGTCGCCTACACTTTATGAACACATTATGGCGAAAGCATATTCCTTAGAAAAGCTGCAAGTCTCACCATTAACAACACTGGTACCAAGATATGTCCCTGAATTCTCTTCTTTTCTTGCATTTCCCTTAAAGACTTCAAATTGCTTTCCAGCATCGAGGTTTTGGGATGCAGTTACTAAAGGACAGGGAGGAGTTGGATCTACCTACAGGCAAAACTTGTTAACATTTTGTATAAAGACACAAACGACCACTCAGAGGTCCTTGTATTGACTTCAGTGCCTGGCAAATTGGGCCCATGCCCTGAATCTAACCAACAACAACCCCCTCTTGCCTTTAGAAGAGTTGGTTATTTAAAAGAGGCAGCTTTTTCTTGTAGCACTAAAAAGAAGTACTAGGCAATCTTAAAAGTTAGCCCAGTCCATTGAATTATTTTACAGGACAAGAGCAGTTATCAAAGTGTTGCTATCAAAAGCAAGTGTCATTCCATATGGCTGGCTTTTGATTATTGATACAGCAGAGGGGAAAGGTTCATTTTAATAGAGAAATAAAAATTCACTGTTAAAATGGTTCAACTACTTGCAGAAGATTGGGGAGATTTTTTTTTTTGGTAGTTTCTAACGTGGCTGCTTCTTCTAACACTCTAACCCCAAAAAAGGGCAACAAAACAAATACCCCCTGAATGAGCTGTCAGAGCAGCAATTTGTAAAGTAAGCTGCCACATGCAGCATGGTTTGAAAACTTCAGGTTCATCAAATCATCCTGACTGTCACCCTCTCAGCAAAGCTCTGAGTGTCCACTTTTGAATTGGGTCTAGTTTGGTAGAACTTAGGCTCCTAACTTTTTCATTTCAGCACATCCTATTAGATGTGGCTTTTAGGAACACGAAGGCCTTCTGAAAATCCTGGATCTACCTATCTGATCCTCTTTTTTGTGAACTCTGTCCTTTCTTAGCTACTCAGAGAAGTGGTATAATTTCTGAGCTACGTTGATGTTGCTATAACTTATCTCCTTTCTGCTCTCCTTCCTAAAGTATCTGGTGGTGGGGTGGGGAGAGGAGGAAGAAGGAGCAATGGCTGGGGGAAGAATGAAAAGTGACATTGGCTTATCCTGGCGTGCAGAAGTAAATTGGGAAGTTTTCCCCCTCATTTTGAGGGATGTTGGGTCCTGTAGCTCCCTGTAATGAAATGCTACCAAAATCAGCAGCTGTCGGCAGCAAGACGAAGGAAAAAAATGTTTCTTCCCCACCACCTTTTCTATTACTTTTTCCCCCCTGTGCAAGGGGAGGCTTTAGAGCAAATGTCTGTTAGTATAACTGGCACATATATCGAATCTGCTTAGTCTGGGCTGTTAAGTAAGTTTAATTAATTTACTAAGTTAATGTTCCAATGCTAGCAACAAAGCATCATTGCAATCAGCTGGGTAGCAGGAATTGGAACCCCTAAATGAGCTCATTTTTTCACAGTTGGAATTAGGGACCAGTTAGCCAGTTGTGTGGTTTTTCCAATTTCTCCACTTGCCCTAGGGGAGTTGCAAGTTATTCATTCCCTATTGCTAAGTGTGAGTAAGATGGGGAGGGGGGAGAGAGGGACAAACCCTACTCCGTGTAGGAGTCCATCTTTGATCCTAACACTGCTGATTCCCTAGCTGTTGTCTGCAGTTATCTTCCTGCCTTGGTCCTAGAATGGCATTTGTAATAGTTTGGAGAAGCAGAAAGGCATCACTGAGAGATATTTACCGCATGTATTTTCATCCTGAGTGTGTGCAGATAAAGGGGGGAAAAAACAAATAAACAATAAAAGAATGGCAACAAAATTACAGAAATTTGCAAAGTTTGACAAATGGTGGCCAGGAGTTGCCACAAGCTAATGGCTTGCAATGATTAATAAGAGTAAAAATAATTGCATTTCATTAAGATTGATGACACCCCATTTAACCTCCCTTCTCGTTTCAGCCCTAAAGTGGAAAGAGATGAAGTTCTCATCTATAATAGCTCCTGTAACATTACCATGGAAACTGAGGCAGAGATGGAGTGTGAGGGAGCTAATCAGCCAATTACCGCCAAGATTACTGAGATATGGAAAAACCGGGGCCAGAACACTCAGGTATAATCAAATCTTTTTTACAGACTGATTCAAACAGCTTAAAATTAAATTTGTAATATTGTGAAAAAAAAAAAAAAAAAAAGAAGAAAACAATTTAGGCCGAGCAGCAGCAATATATAATATTAAATGCTTTCCAACTTTGAATAGCAGTTCTAATGCAGTGCAGCTAAATTAATGGTTAACTATGGTTAATCATGTATTTTCTGAGACATAAATGAGCTTTACCTTATTTTCTGGGCAAGGTATATCTTTTTTAACACTTTCTTTTTTTTTTATATATATAAATTCAGTCTGTTCTAAAAGTGTTATTTTCTGTTACTTGAGCAGAAATCTTAGCCATGAGCTACAGAGTTTCAGCTCTTTAGCAGAGACTTAGCATTCAGCATTTGTGCAGTTCTGGTTATACTTGGTTTTTGCTCCTCTTCAGTATGTGAAGTAAAACGGGACAGTCTTCCCAGTGCTATTGGTATAGCGAGGAGACAGACATGTGCAAAGATTTCCTTACAAAAAATATGACTCTAGCGTAATTGTAAGGCTTGATATCTAAAAATGTACATTGCAAACCTAAACCGTCCTTTTGGAGTCCTCTTGGTGTTGCAGAGTTTTTGGGGGTGTTGAACTGAAGACGGGGTTGTGCCACCTGTGAGAAGAAATTCAGAGGGGCTGGATATTTTGGTGGACATCAAATATCCCTTCCTCACCATCCTTTCCTAAGTGAGCAGCTCATGAGAAACGGCGGGTACCACATACAGGGCAGTACAAGTGGGAAGAGTTACACATCTGACACATGATAAAAAGCAGATCTTGTTTTTAATCTGTTAAAGCAAATTGTCGTGCAGTCTTATTAGTATGGTTGAAACCTAGGAAACGCAAGTTCTTTTGTTCAGTGCTGATGTTAAAGCCAGCATAGTAATTTTTATCTCTGCAGTGACATTTCCCCACTCTGCCACCCCACCCCAGAAGTAGCTGCAGTGTCCTGGCAGAGTGATTTTGGTGTGTTTCTAGCATCAGATTCTAGACCTTTTACTAAAAGTCTCTGAATATTTCCCCTGCAAATCTATCTTACACGTGTGTTACTATTGCAGCTGAATATCCCAAAATACGGCTGCTTTCCTTCATTCTGTTAAGGCTGTCTTTGGTCTGTGAAGGAATGTCACATGTAGCCTTTTACCTATTAGCATTTGTTTCCTAGTTAGCCTTGTTATGCTACCAGAATCATGCTCAGCTAAGGGGAAAACCAAACAAAAAAAAAACACACACCAAAAAAAAAATAAAATCTACTTGTCAGCTGCAGGATGCCAACAAAGGGAAGTGCTTAGGCAAATAGCAGATCATATTTTCCTTCCCAAATGTGATAAGGGCATCTCTATCACCTTAAACCTCAGGTTGCACTAGAGCTGTTACCTACTGTTGGCTGTGATCTGAAAGCTCAGCTGTGTTACGGGTCCTGTGGTCTCAGTAATGAGACGATGAGAGGTTGTCTTCTGACTCAGGTGGGAGCAAAACCAGGAGGAAGTGGTGAGATTTGTCCCTGCTATGGTATTTCTGCTTTGCGTGAGGAAAATTGACGAAGTCCTAAGTGTTCTGAATGAATTTGTTCATTCAGGGAGAGCAGGACGCAACCAGAAGCACTTTTAGATCTGGGATTTGCTGCTGCTTAATGAACCCAGCGGGCATTTGGAATCATTTTATCCCTCTTCCCAAAACTGGCCTGGGTGAGCAGAGGTGGATGGGTGGGGAGTTCAGATAAATGGTTTCAATTTTGGTCCCTTTCTAGCTGACAGCATCCCTTTAAGATTTATGACCCTGTGCAGCATATGCATGCTTCACTGTAGAGGTTTAAATCATGTCATGGGAACTGGCCTTACCTTTCCAGTGGAAATAATGGTCCCCAGGTTCAGTACCAAGCAGTGAAATGCATTAATAGCACCACGTGCCTTAGGATAATGGTGTTATTAACAGGCAGCACAACTCTGTGTACAAGTAATGGGATTGCATCTCTTTATAATGACATCTGGCACTTCTATTGCGCTCTCATGCAAGGATCTCAAAGCACTTCCTAAAAAATGGGCCTGATCTGTAGCTGTTCTCCACACAGGTACACTGCTCAGTCTTTTGTGTTTTGCCTACTCTTCTGCCAGCTGAGGGATGGCCAGGCAGGCTGATAACTCAGCAGTGTCTTAACACAGCTGGGCTTTGTGGGAGGGTTGGGGCAGAGATGGTTAGATGATGATGGAGGAGGATTAGCTCCAGGATGGTGTTGGAAGTTAAAAGAGGCATTTCGAAAAGACTGAAAGAGGCTTATATCATCAAGAGCATGGAGGGGGCATTGGCAAGAAGAGGGAACAACCTCTGTTCAGAGCAGAAAATAAACCCTTAAAAGGTTGGGTTTAGGAACTTGAGTCTAAGGGATACAAGCTTTAGACTGAAGTCACTTTTCTTCAGTCTTTATAAGTTACATAATAGGACCTGTCCGTAATTCTTAAAATAACATGGAAGATATTAATGGAATAGTTGTGATTTGGTTGGTTGGAAATGAGGCGAATGTAGACTGAATGTGATGAGGTTTTGCAGCCCTGGTGGGAGAATGCTGGGCAGAAGGCTCCAGAGATGCCTGGGAAGGAGTGTGGTGGGTGTATGGGAGATGCCAGGTGACACGATATCCCCAGTAGCAGGGAACAGAACTCCAGTGAGATGGTGATCTCTTCCAGGTCTGTGTTTCTATGACACTTTTCACAGCCCTGTTACTGATAGCTCACAGACATGACCTGGCAACACTGAAGAGAAATCCATGCATAAGGATCCGGGTGTAGAGCAAGTGGCAGAGACGTGTCCATCAGCTTGATCTACCTTCTTTGACAAGCAGGAGCCTTGCACTGGAAATAGTCCATTTTTCTCTTGCCTGACTCTGCAGAATGGTATCCAGACAATGAATTCACCCTGGATCTGTGTGTCAGCTTTAGTAAAAATGGCATTAAATGGCTATTGTAACTTATCCAGGAATCAGACCTTAGCCATGCTAGTTGAGTTTTAATTAATGATATGTTACCAGACCAAATTCTCCATTTTTCTGGTCACATCCAGAATGTATTATATACTTTACCATGATTTTTCCTCACTGTCTGTCTGAATTGCAAGTGCATGTGTAAACCAAGGACACCAAAATTATCTGAAGAGATTAGCAAGCACCACAAATGTTCTTTTTCAGTGAGTTAATGCAGTAGTTGTCCTTTGAACTTCTTTTATTGTCTTAGATATACAGAAACTCCAAGTACCAGAAGATCATTCTACAAACTCCTCACAGGTGCATTCCCCCCCCCACCTTAACTCCTTTCCCCCTGATTAATACTTATGAAGATCTATTTTTATGAAAACTAAAAGCTTAATTCTAGATACCTTAATTTTTGGATGATCTTTATGTGATGGCTAAGCTTAATTCTGCAAGGAAGAGAACTCTCCCACCTCTGATTTCAACATGTTTTCTTGAAAATTGGGCTGTAGCTATCATCAAAAATTAGAAGGATATTTTTTGAAAATGCTGCCTGTCCTACTCATGTTGTGCATGTTTCTCCCTTGAGTCAGTCACTTGAATGTGCTGTGCACCTTGAACCCCTTTTGGGCAGGTTCTTCAGTCAGGGAAAACAGCTGTATTATCTGGAAGGTGACACAATATCCATCACTCAAGTTTTGTCCCTTTCAAATCCAGTCTCCAAGTTGTTGCTTGCATGGTTACAGTCTGAGCTGGGCTCAACTCTGAATTTAGAGGACCTCCAAAATTTCTAGGAGTTTCAAGTTGCTGGCTGGAGATCTCTGAAGCTGAATGGCAGGCTTAATGAAATTTGAGTTCACCAGCTTGGCCTTTTCCTGGGGTCTGGTCTGTGCCCGACCATCCCCCAGAGAATAGCTTTTATGGATTTCTTTAGAAAATGATATAGACCCTTGCCTAACTTTGTGCTCGAAGTACTTGCCCCTGTATGACTTAATTAGGTCACATGAAGTAAGCGTCAGGCTTCTGCTCCGCTGTTGCATTTGGCATCATTAGTGTTTGTAACTTGCTCCATTATTATCCAAGGAAGAGTTGCAGAATTATTTTTATATTGGTATATAATGCAATTTAGCCTACTAAAAGGAGGGGGAGGTGGAAATAAAAAGGGAAAAAAAAATACAGCACTGATTGTATATCCCACAGGACTTAATTAGTTCACAGTTTCATGATACACTGGATAATGGGAGGATATGAATTAAATAATAAAAGGGAAAAGAAAAGTTCTAATGCTCACTCAGTACCTGTCCACTTCCACCTTGGCTGCATAATGAGATGTCAGCTACCGTGACACTGATGAGACATGCAAAACACACTGATAACACACGTAAAGGATGCTCCTGGGAAGGTTTGACCAGGCTCGGGTGTCTCCGAACCCATTATGCTTAGTGAGCCTTCAGATTATTATTCCGGATCACTGGACCAGACCTAATCATCATGCAAGCATGCTGTTTGAGCAGCGTTTCCCTGCCCCGACTCCCCCTCCTCCTCTGGCCCAGATGGGTGATATAATGTTCGTCAGAGGGCAGATGCCATGTATATTAAGTCAGTCGTAGGGAAGCTGAACTGGTATACTAGTGAATTCTCTACAACCCAACCCTCGAGGGGTCCCTATTAAGAAATAGAAGGCTAATAAAAAATAACTTGCGAGATAAAAATGCCATCCTGGATTACGACTCTGCCTGAGTATGCTGTGCTGCTTTTAGTTTGTTTTTAAATAGGGCATTAAGGGAAGGTCTTGAGATTTAAGAAGTAGCTCAGAGTATTGAGGAACTGTGATTTTTTTTTAGCTTGCTGACTGATGCTGGGATAACTGCTTTGTTCACTTCTCAACACAAAGAAAAGAAAAGAACCCACAAAGCCTATGTCTGAGATACATAGAGTCACCTAAGAGATCCTTGCTCTTCAATTTCCACTCAATGTAATCAGGACTAGCTCTGCAAATCCCTTGGATTCT